GGCCACCATTGGATCTGTCACCCCCTCACCCACTTACCCCCCCAAATACACCCCCCCCCCCCCCCCCCCCCCGCTACGTTAGCAAACGCTTGCGTGGCCTTATTCATTATCTATACGATTCCTGTGGATAGGCTTGCGGTTCAAATCCGCACACACATGCAATCTTTAATTCCCTTCTCTTGTATATTCATAAAAACTATTATGCTCTTGAAGATATAAATTTCTCTCTCATTCTCATGAAAAATTTACAATATCAAAAACTAAAATGTCTGGATATTCTTGAAAATAAAATAGACCACAATATCTCAGAACGATAAAAAGCTTCACTTTAGCCTTTCACACAATACACTATCCTTGAGCTTTCAGACGTTTCTGCGTTAGAGATCTAACGTATAGATTCTTTAGATTGGTAAAAAATTAATTATAACAAATGAACATGATCACTCTTCGCCCGTATTGTATAGCCTATTTGAAAATAATTTACCTTCTATCCTTCATTCATTAACAAATGTTGACTTTATTTCACTTTTCAATGAAGAAAAACATTTGGTTGTTATTACTAAAACACCATTGGTAATGGAAATATTTGATATTCAAAATTTAACAAATTCATTATTTAATTTCAATATTAGTGATATTTCTCAATCTCAACTATGTGGTATTCAAACTCAATCTCAATTTATTCTCCTCTCATTTTATAATTGTTTTATGCTATTGAAACTTCAGTATAATAGTCAAACTTCAACATATGATATTGTTGAAAAATATATTGTTAACATAACACGTATACAATCTGAAGAACAATTCCATTATAAATTACATTTAACCAATGATAATAATTATATAATTATGGAACAAGGTCAGATTGACAGTGATTTGAAGTCTATTTGTGTCTACATGCGTGATAAATCTGATACAAATCTTCTTCATTTTTCAACATTAAAATATCTAAAACAAAAACATGTACGTGCAAAAACAACAACTTGTTTATTTCAGACGTATACCGTATTTCATAGAAAACCACATTTACTCATTGCCCATCATGGAAATATATTACGTGCAAAATTACCAACAAAAGAACAACTAAATGAACTTTTATGTGAATTAGATATTCAACCAGATAATCATTCTTGGATGAAACACTCATTAAAATTATATCAGGAAACAACAGATAAACATAGTCTATCAGTGAACGTAACAGCACTAACAATTCAATCAGATGATTCTTGTTTTGCATCAGGTGGAGATGATGGATCAATTGTTGTCTGGTATTTTAATGAAAATGCGCAAGAAGTTTTGCGAAATCAAAATGATAAGGTATTTCATATTTATGCATAGTAACCTATCACTGTTAGTTTTAATTTTAAATCTTCAACTAATGGGTGTGGTAGAATAAATTTCATTCTAAGTATTTTTTGAATCAATTTTTTATTTATGACCATATAGACTTGAACATTGTTTTTTAAAAGATTCGTCATTTCATTCTCCACAAGAAACATATCGAACATTTTTCTATATATACCGCACAAGTTAGAAAATACAAAGAAAATACTGTAACGCTTTAGTTTCGATAATTTTGTAATCTACAGACGGTTTTTCCGTTCTTAACTCTTCATATTCTGGAATATAAAAAAACAGAAGATAGACATTTATAACTCCATTTCTTTTTCTGTGACAAAGTGAAAAAAATCAAATTCTTCCATGTTCTAGTGAATTTTGATAAAAAATTGTGTCAGAGAACCCGTTTCAAGCGAAACAGAAGCGAAGAGAACGCGTTTCGATGAAGCACTGGAACATACATTTAGGGACAGAAATGTAAAAAATACTAGTGAAAAGGCACAATGGATCGTATACAAAACCTTGTATACTTTTATCTCGCTGATCCCGACCCGCCTTTGACATTATTCAAATTTTCGTATACGGAATCCATTGTGTATTTTTACCGGAATCTTTTCTGATTTTATCCTACTTTTCATTCTACTTTGCTACGGGAGACCTGGTTTTCTTCGCATGAGAACAAAGTAAATCAATCTGCTACACAGGTCATATTAGTCAAGTATGCTTCAGTTAGAAAGTAAATAAAATATAATGGAAACTAAAGATACTTTGAACTTACTGTAATAAAATAAACATAAAGTTGCTTCTCTAACTCAAACTTTTCTTTACATGACTACCTACGACTACGACGTAACCTTAGTTGCTCCTTCGTTTGGTGTAATCTTCATCATTTTTTCTGTTTTACGGAGATTTCTTTCAAGTGTTTTTTCGCTCTCATGCTCTTAGCTTTGACAAACTATTCTTTTTAAACCTGGTAGCGAACCGTTTTGCATCAGGTGGAGATGTTGGATCAATTGTTGTCTGGTATTTTAATGAAAATGCGCAAGAAGTTTTGCGGAATCAATATGATAAGGTATTCGTGATCTGGTATCTAGTTTGGGTATCTACCTAGGTGATCGATAGAGAACGATTCGTTACCGAACACGTTCGCTTGTGAACCGTTCGGCGCCGATCAGCTTAGGATTGTTGCATGCGTAGTTTAAGTCTATATGGTCAAAAATAAAAGAATTTATTCAAAAAATTCTAAGGATGACAAATATTCTGCCGTTCATGTTATTTTGTTTGACGGATTTTATTTTCAGATAACCGATTTAAAATTTGATGGTTTATCAACTAAATGTAAGCTTTATTCGTCTTCCATAAATCGTACATTTACTGTTTGGTGCTACAATAATTCACAGTGGAATGTTTTACATGAATTGTATATGCACATACCAATAGAAAAATTTTACATTGTTTCGAATAATAATTCTTCACAGCAGGTACTGATAGCTCTCGGAAGATTTTGGGGCTATGATCGACTATTAATGTTTGAAATACTTTCACCAGACAAATTGTGTATAAATGAAACGAATTCAAACACTAATGATGAAATTAAATACAATTTTCAAGCAAGTGATATGACAAGCTTTGCACTTTAAAAGTAATATATACTACCGATGTATCTATAATTCCTTGGGTAAAAATTTAAGTAATCATTATGCAATAAAAAGGTATTTTTTTATTAGTTTACCATTGTCCAAAACTGTACAAATTCGATAATATTTTAGTCTTTGTGCACATTGTAGTTTAAGATTATTTCAACTGAGACTATTTGCAAGAGTGTCGATATCATAAATCTTTCGTGTTTCTGCACTATAACAGTTTGACAGCAGTTACACATTTCAATTCATCGCTTAATATTGCCCTACTGTTTTGATCTTTATATTCGATTGACGCACAAACATGTTTACCCATGTGCTGAAAATCGCTTCATTTTTGTCGATTAATCGCGATGGTTGAAAAAACCGACGCTCAATTGCGATTCGGGAAAAAATGGTCATTTAATCGCGATTAAGTGATAATTTTTTCGTGTGCATCGCGATTAATCGATGACTTTGTCA